CCCCCCCCCAACTGCTTTACGTTGGCAAGTTAGTCACCTGCTCCGGTCACAGAGTTCAAGTCCTCCGGAGAGGCCTGCTTTCAAAACGCACCTGAAGACTTCAAAAAACAACAACAATCCAGGTGTTTTTAGAACGTGTCCACCGCAACCTCCCTCTTCCTTTCTCTAAAAAAAAAAATCCCGGCTTCAATTATAGGCTAAAGACATCCGAACTCGAGCTGGAATGGGGGAAAGGTCTTGGGGTCGTAGCAAAACGGAGGCGTCAGCCCAGTGCACCGCAGCAGTGAAAAAGACAAACTCAGTGTTAGAGACAGATCGAGACCAGGTATCTGAAGAAGTGAGCAGTAGAAGAAGAGGAGGAGGAGGAGGAGGAGATTGGATTTACACCCCACCCTTCACTCGGGAGTCTCAGAGCGGCTTACAAACTCCTTTCCCTCCCCCTCCCCACAACAGGCACCCTGTGAGGTAGGCGGGGCTGAGAGAGCTCTCTCAAGGACTGCCCGCGAGAGAACAGCTCTGAGAAAACTTGTCACTGACCCAAGGTCACACCAGCAGCTGCATGTGGAGGAGTGGGGAATAAAGAAGAAGAAGAAGAGATTGGATTTATATCCCACCCTTCACTTGGAGTCTCAGAGCGGCTTACAAACTCCTTTCCCTTCCTCTCCCCACAACAGACACCCGGTGAGGTAGGTTGGGCTGAGAGAGCTCTGAGAACTGCTGTTGAGAGAACAGCTCTTATCAGAACTACAGCTTGCCCAAGGTTATCCAGCAGGTGCAAGTGGAGGAGTGGGGAATCAAACCCGGTTCCCCCAGATTAGAGTCCACACACTTAACCACGACACCAAACTGGGTAAAGCTCACGAAAACTCCTATCCCACCACATAGGTTGTTAGTTTTTAAGGTGCAACTGGACTCTTGCTCTTTTCGGCTTCTACAGACAGACTAAGACGGCGACCCGTCTCGATCAGGTATCTGAAGAAGTGAGCAGCGACTCATGAAAGTTCATACCCTGCCACAAGTATTGTTAATCTTTAACGCGCTACTGGACTCTTGCTCTTTTTCTGCTGCTACAGACAGACTGACCCGGCCCCCCATCTCGATCAGGTATCTGAAGAAGTGAGCAGTGATTCACGAAAGTTCCAACCCTGCCACATATTGTGTTAGTCTTTACGGTGCGACTGGACTCTTGCTCTTTTCTAATGTTAGGGATGATTAGGAAAGGGACTGAGAATAAGAACACCAATATTATTATTATTATGAAGAAAAGGAAATTGGATTTACACTCAGAGCGGCTTACAAACTCCTTTCCCTTCCCCTCCCCACAACAGACACCCTGTGAGGTAGGTGGGCTGAGAGAGCTCTGACAGAAACTGCTCTTGAGAGAACAGCTCTGAGACAACTTGTGACTGACCCAAGGTCACCCAGCTGGCTACATGTGGAAGAGTGGGGAATTAAACCCGGTTGTCCCAGATTAGAGTCTGCGCTCCTAATCACTACACCAAACTGGCTCCCAAGAGTTGGATTTATACCATGCCCTTCACTCAGAGTCTCAGAGCAGCTTACAGTCTCCTCTCCCTTCCCCTCCCCACAACAGGCACCCTGTGAGGTGGGTGGGGCTGAGAGAGCTCTGACAGAAAGTGCTCTTTTTCAAGAACAGCTCTTATCAGAACTATGGCTTGCCCAAGGTCATCCAGCCAGGTGCAAGTGGAGGAGTGGGGAATCAAACCCGGTTCTCCCAGATTAGAGTCCATGCACTTAACCACTACACCAAACTAGTGCCCCTGTATAGATCTATGATGCGGCCTCATTTGGAATACTGTCTGCAGTTCTGGCCACCGGATCTCCAAAAGGACATTGCAGAGCGGGAAAAAGTGGAGAGGAGGGCAACCAGGATGATTCAGGGCACCTTCCCTAGGAGAAAAGGCCGAAGAGTCGGGGACTTTGCAGGTTAGGAAAGAGATGACTAAGAGGGAACATGACAGAAGCTTATAAAATTATACATAACATTATAATTTACATATACTAGAACTTGAGGGACTCCAATGAAGCTGATGGACAGTAGATTTCAGGAAGGGCAAAAGGAAATACTCCTTTATACAGCAAGTGATTAAAATGTGGATGTAGTGATCGCCACAGGAAATCGACAACTTTAAAAGGGGGTTAGATTTATGGAGGATAACTCTATCAGTGGCTACCAGCCATCCTGACTAAAGGGAACCTCCACATTCAGAGGCACCAATCCTCTGAATCCCAGAGCTGGGAGTCAACATCAGGGGAAGGCATTGGTGTTCCCTGTTGCTGGCTCTCCAGAGGAACTGGCTGGCGACTGTGTGAGATGGGAGGCTGGACTAGATGGACCCTCCCTGGTCTGCCCCAGCAGGGCTCTTCTGGTGTTCTTATCAAGGGAAGGCCTCGGCCTCTAATCCCTGTTGCTGGCCCTCCAAAGGAACTGGCTGGCCACTCTGAGAGACAAGATGCTGGACTAGAAAGACCCTCACTGGTCTGACCCAGCAGGGCTCTTCTGTTCTTATCAGGGGAAGGCCTCGGCTTCTATTCCCTGCCGTTGGCTCTCCAGAGGAACTGGCTGGCTACTGTATGAGACGGGATGCAGGACTAGATGGACCCTCCCTGGTCTGACCCAGCAGGGCTCTTCTGATGTTCTTCTCAGGGGAAGGCCTCGGCCTCTAATCCCTGTTGCTGGCCCTCCAGAGGAACTGGCTGGCCACTGTGTGAGACGGGATGCTGGACTAGATAGACCCTCACTGGTCTGACCCAGCAGGGCTCTCCTGATGTTCTTCTCAGGGGAAGGCCTCGGCCTCTCTGCCCTGTTGCTTGACCTCCAGAGGAACTGGCTGGCCCCTGTGTGAGACGGGATGCTGAACTAGATGGACCCTCACTGGTCTGACCCAGCAGGGCTCTCCTGATGTTCTTCTCAGGGGAAGGCCTCGGCTTCTATTCCCTGCCGTTGGCCGTCCAGTAGAACTGGTTGGCTACTGTGTGAGAGATAGGATGCTGGACTAGATAGACCCTCACTGGTCTGATCCAGCAGGGCACTTCTGGTGTTCTTATCCACCCCCAGAAGGCCTGCATCCTATAACTCCAGACCCAAATGTCGATCAGTAAAGAAGCAAATACCTTTAAAAAGGCAATTCAATCTTTAAAAGTGTATCAAGAGGGCCTGTAGGATGCTAGAATAACCGGTCTGTGAACACAATGGTTTTTATGGGCTTCTTTAGAGACGTTTTTCAGAAAGAGAAATGGTAGAGGTCAACGGCTACCAGGAATCCCGATTATAAACAATGCACAGATTTATGTGGCTGCACTAAAACAATTGTACCAGGGTGTTCCCAAGAACATTTTCGAATTATTGTGGGTTCTCTTGTGTGCCACTTCCTGTCCAAGGACTCACAATGACTGGTGTTTTGGCTGTGGAAACTTTATGGGTTCTTAGTGAACATGTCAATATTGTGAAGTGTAACGTTTGCCGATGACCTTTCTCACACTGGCCCTTTCTTGTCCTCCTGCTCTGAATCTCGACCTTGTTTGGCTCTTGGATCAGAAAAGGTGGCCCATCCCTGAGTGAGCCTTGTGGGGAGGGGGTGTGGCTCAGTGGAACTGCCTCTGCTTGGCATGCAGAAGGTCCCAGGTTCAATCCCCGGCATTTCCAGTTAAAAAGGACCAGGCAGGAGGAAATGCGAAAGACTTCATGCCCGAGACTCTGGAGAGCTGTCAAGAAAAGCTGTGCCTCAGTGGCAGAGCCTCTGCTTGGCACGCAGGTCCCAGGTTCAATCCCCGGCATCTCCAGTTAAAAGGAACAGGCAGGAGGAGATGGGAAAGACCCCCGCCTGAGACCCTGGAGAGCTGTAAAGAGGAGGCATGGCTCAGTGATAAAGCCTCTGCTTGGCATGCAGAAGGTCCCAGGTTCAATCCCCGGCATCTCCAGTTAAAAAGGACCAGGTAAGAGGTGACGCAAAAGACCTCCGCCGAGACCCTGAAGAGCTGTCAAGAGGGGCTGTGGCTCCCTGGCATCTCCAGTTAAAAGGATAAGGCAGCAGGTGATGGGAAAGACCTCTGCCTTAGACCCTGGAGAGCTGTAAAGAGGGGCTGTGGCTCAGTGGTAGAGCCTCTGCTTGGCATGCAGAAGGTCCCAGGTTAATTCCCCGGCATCTCCAGTTAAAAGGAACAGGCAGGAGGTGATGGGAAAGACCCCCGCCTGAGACCCTGGAGAGCTGTCAAGAGGAGGCGTGGCTCAGTGGTAGAGCCTCTGCTTGGCACCCAGAAGGTCCCAGGTTCAATCCCTCGGCATCTCCAGTTAAAAAGGACCAGATAAGAGGTGATGCGAAAGATTTCTGCCTAAGAATCTGGGGAGCCACTGCCGGTCTGAGTAGACAATATTGACCTTGAAGGGCCAAAGGTCTGATTCAGTATAAAGCAACTTCCGGATGTGTGTAACCTTATATCAAGGGTTGGTCACCATGCACATGATAAAATCTGTAAAACAGGGCCGGCCATGGTGGGTTCTACAAACCCCAGCATTCTTGAAACTAATTTGTTACTTTTTTCCTCCTGATTTTTTTTTAAAGTAAAAAACAATGTCTGCAGACAGACAGGGGGGGGGGGATTTGTTTGGGGTAGCATTTTGCCTGGGAGTTTTTTTGGGCCACCCTGGAAAACGCACTGAATTCCAAACCCATTGCGCTTTTTAAAAAGCAAGTTTCATTGCTGAACTCATTTGTTTGTGTAACGGGCAGAACCATCAGCACGATGTTGATTAAAGCCATTTTTGTTTGCTTGTTCTTGTAATAAGACCCAGGGCATAAAAATATTTGACGGATCAACTAGGCCGAATCGCTTTTAACCAGCCGAACTCCCGCGGCTGTGCTGGAGTTCTCGTCCCTCCAAAAACTCAACACAGTTTTTCAAATAAAGGACTTTAAATATATACTTTTAAAGAATCAGCTAAGGCCTTTTTCTATGAAAGGCTGCACAAATACAGGGGGAAAGCCTTTTTCTCTGAGGAAGCGAGATCTACTCAGCTGTGGGGCAAAGAACGTTCTGCAACCGCTGCTACATTTATTTATTTTTTTAATTTAAACTATCCCAGAAACAAGTAGTTTATTAGTTTAAAAAATTAACCTCAAATATATATACAGACACGTCTAAATTTCTTCCTCCATTTCTGTTGTCCTCACTAACACTCGAGAGTCGAGACCAAAGGCCATTCTAGATTCTAACCCCGTGTTCTAACCCCATGTTTCCTAATAAACACAATGTTTCTTCTTTCTCTGTAGTGATATCGAAGTCCCCAACCCGTTTATCTTCTACAGGCCTGTCTCTGCACGTTTCCCCCTTTTAAAGACCCACCATGGCCAATTTTTACACACAGCAAGATGAGGACTGTCGCGGCACACTCTCCTGTCGGAACAGAACCCTCACACTGGGAAAAAAAACTCCCCGCAGGATAAATCCTTCTCCCTGAGAGGCTAGCTTTCTAGGTGTGCCATGGCCCAACCCAGTTTTACGTGCCTCCAGGAACAGAGCATTAAGGCACCCGATAAGTACATCTACGAGTTGGACACATCACGCCCTGCTCACACGGCCGCCCCCCCATGCTCGCCCAAGCCTCGAGTTCCTTCCTCCCTACTCCTTGGGGATCTCGAACATGCACAAGCTCTTGTACTTCTGGAGCAATTCGCTCTTCGTCCGGACTTGCTCCCGGAGGTTCTGGAGCTGTTCCTGCTGGTGTTCGGGGCTCACGCCGATGCCTTGCATGCTCTTGATCAGCTTGCGCATCTCCACAAATTTGGTGCGCAGGTCGCTCAACACCTGGTGGACGTCCTGGCTGTCTTTATCCATGCTGGAGGAGGAGGGAGACAAAACGAAAATAAAAAACGGGCTGTTTAATACAGTTAGCTGGGGCGGAAGGAGGATTATTTCTGCCGGTCCCTTGGCGCACTGCCCTTGAAGTCGCCTCGAACTCACAAAGACATCTGAGGCAAGTTTCCCTGGGAAAGCAGCAAGGGGTGTGGGCCGGCATGTGTTTTTAACTAGGAAGTCAGGATACATCGTCCCCCACCCACCCGCACACACACGGGTTTTTCAGAGTTTGGTGTGGCGGGTTAAGGGCTGGTTTCGCGTTTCGTAGCGCCTTGGAGCCCAACAAGTTTCCCAAGAGTCGGAGCTTCCTCTGTTGTTGACTCTTGAAAGCTCATACGTTGAAGATCTAGTTGGTCTCTAAGGTGCTGACGATGGAAGCTGCAACCAACTTTGCGTGGCCCCATCGGGTTTTCAAAGCAAGAGATGAGCAGAGCTGGTTTGCCATGGCCTGCCTCTGCGTAGCCACCCTGGACTTAAGAACACAAGAGAAGCCCATTGTTGGATCAGGCCAATGGCCCATCCAGTCCAACACTCTGTGTCACACGGTGGCCAAAACCCAGGAGCTATCAGAAGGTCCTCCAGTGGGGCCAGAACTCCCCCCCCCCCAAGCACCAAGACTTCTTAAGCGGTGTCCCATCTAAGCACTAAGCAGGGCCTGCTTAGCATCCAACACCAAGCCATCTAGGCCAGGACAGAGACAAACAGAGGTGGTCTACCACTGTCTGCCTCTGCATGACGACCCTGAACTTCCTTGGTGGTCTCCCATCCAAGTACTAACCAGGGCCGAGTGTGTTTACCTTCTGAGATTGGACAAAATCGGGCTAGCCTGGGTCATCCAGGTCAGGACAAGAGACGTTTGGAGGTGGCTGACCATTGCCTGCCTCTGCATAACGACCCTGGACTTCCTTGGTGGTCTCTCATCCAAGTACTGACCAGGGCCAACCTCGCTTAGCTTCTGAGATCTGGCTAGCTGGGAACATCCAAGTCAAGGTAGAAACAAACAGAGGTGGTCTACCATTGCCTGCCTCTGCATAACGACCCTGGACTTCCTTGGTGGTCTCCCATCAAGTACTAGCCAGGGCCGAGTGTGTTTACCTTCTGAGATCTGACGAGATTGGGCTCGCCTGGGCCATCCAGATCAGGGCAAGAGGCGAACAGAGGTGGTTGGCCATTGCCTGCCTCTGCATAGCAACCCTGGACTTCCTTGGTGGTCTCCCATGCAAGTGCTAATTACGGTAGGCCTACCATGCTTAGCTTCTGAGATCTGATGAGATCTGGCTAGCTGGGAACATTCAAGTCAGGGCAGAGGCGAACAGAGGTGGTTCGCCATTGCCTGCCTCTGCGTAGCAACCCTGGACTTCCTTGGTGGTCTCCCATGCAAGTGCTAACTAGGCCTGACCATGCTTAGCTTCTGAGATCTGATGAGTTCTGGCTAGCTGGGAACATTCAAGTCAGGGCAGAGGCGAACAGAGGTGGTTCGCCATTGCCTGCCTCTGCGTAGGAACCCTGGACTTCCTTGGTGGTCTCCCATCCAAGTACTGACCAGGCCCGAATCCTTCTTAGCTTCCGAGATCTGGCAAAATTGGGCTAGGCCGGGCAAGATGCTACTGGACTCGAATCTGGTTCTTCTTCCACAGACCAACACAGCCACTCTCCAAAACTGTTTCGCCAGTCAAGTTGAGAGAATCTCATTACGGGGCTACAGTGACACCTCTGGCTAAAATTTCTACTGGTCGGGAAACTACTCAAAGTAGAGAAGGGGTTCCAGAGGATCGGGACGGTTCTGCTCGGTCGTATGACACAGACGTAAACAAGGCTCGCAGAAGGCGCTTTGGGGAGGTCTCCCCCACCCCCCAGTCTGATTCATTTCCTCCAAACCAAATGCTCTGTCCCAGATGTGGTCACCCGGCCTCCGTCAACGCTGGAGTTCTGCCCCAAAACACCATGTCCCAAGCCTGCCCTATTAAAAGTTAGCACATCCCATGAACAGTGTCCTCTAGCAATTAGAGGACTCTTTGAGTGAAGGGTGCTTCCCACTTCAGCTTCCTAGATGGTACAGACGGTAATCGGCAGGTCCACATCACACCCCCAATTTCACCGGAGTCCCATTTTCAGACCTGTCTAGCAATCCAAGACTCTGTGTTCCACACCAAGCTTACAGCTCTCAGACACGGAAATCCTAACTATTTCACGGGGGGCGTGGGAGTCCCTTGGCCATTTGTGCCAGGGACGATTCGCTTACAGCAACCGGGACAGTTTGTAGAGTGCAACAAAGTCCGTCTCTTAAGTCAAATTCAAACCCCGACACGGTGTCCACTAACACATTTCCTGGCGCCCACTGGGTGCTTTCAGAAAGTGGGCAGGGCCTTGTGCCAAGCAGGGCTTCTGCGCAGATTAAACAGCGTCCTGTTAAAACAGAGCATCTGCCTGCAATGCTGATGAGGTATTATTAAAATTATACGTAACCTCGTGGCCTGATTTTGTGGCTGGCTCCACCTACCGCAGCAGCCATTTTGTGACTCGTTCCACCTCCCGTGGCGGCCATTTTCTGATTGGAGGTGAACTGACTTTACATTCATAACTGGACTCGATCCGACAAAGAAGGGTAGGAAAACTGGGGTGGGTGGGGGGTGGAGATCCCCAAACACAAAAATGGGCCTAAGAACAGCCCGGCTGAATCCAACCAAGCCGCACCCTGTCCAGTGAAAGAGAGCCCGTCCCTCCTCAATTTTCCCTTGTATGGGGATAGACTCCTCCTAGCCTTGGAGCTTCTTTAACTTATTTTAACTTGTGGTATTTGGGGATAGACTCCCCCAGCCCTTGGAGGATCAATTCCCTAGGGACAAGAGCCGCAGACCCTCTCCTCCTGCCCAGTTTTTCCTCCAGGGTGTCCAGTGATACACTGCTCCTAGCCTGGGAGGGTCTGTTAGCAAGACAGAGAGGAAACCTCCCTGCCCTTCCCTCTGCGAGGACTTCCAATGGGAGTCGGCCCCTGCCCCGGACGGCTTCCTTTTGCTAGGGACACAGAGAGATCTCCTTGCTCTTCTTTGGGAGAATATTCAGTGGTAGACTGCTCCCGCCCTGGAAGGCTCCATCTCCGGGGACACAGCCAGCCCCGCCCCACCTTATCCTTCAAGGCGTGTCCAGCGGTAGACTGCTCCCGCCCTTGGAGGGTTCTTAACAGACCCTTTCCCCCTGGAGCGGCAGTATGGTTTCCAACCTCCAGGTGGGGCCTGGAGACCTCCAGCTATCTCAAGTGATCTCCGGACGATGCAGATCAGCCCTCCTGGAGAAAATGGCTGCTTTGGAGGGCGGACTCTGCGGCATTGTGCCCTGCTGAGGCCCCTCCTCTCCCCTGACCCCGCCCTCCCTAAGCTCCACCCCCAAATCTTCAGGTATTTCCAGTGTTGCCACCTCTGGATTGGGAAATACCTGGAGATTTGGGGGGTGCACTCTAAAAAGGGTGCGTTTTGGGGAGGAGAGGGACCTCAGCAAGGTACAATGCCACAGAGTCCACCCTCCAAAGCAGCCATTTTCTCTAGGGGAACGCCTGGAGATCAATGGCAACCGCGGGAGACCCCCGGGTGGCACCTGGAGGTTGGCAGGCCGGGGTTATGCCCCAACCCAAGGCAGTAGAAAAGAGCCAGAGTCCAGCCGCCCCCGACGCAATTAGAGGCAGGGGAGGAGGAGCCCTCGTGAGTGACAGCTCACTTCTTCAGCGGCGGTAGACTGCTCCTGCCCGGGGAGGCTCCCCCTCACCATTTGATGATGTCGTGGACGAGGGGCAGGAAGGAGGCGTCCTGCTGGTCGGGGCGCGGGGCGGGGGGCGCCGGCGGGGGGGGCTGCTGCTGCGGAGGCTGCTGCGGAGGCTGCTGCGCCCCTGCGGAGGGTGGCGGCGGCGGAGGCTGCGCGGGGGGCGGCTGGAACTTCTGCTCGGCCGGCGAGGCCTGCTGCTGCTGCTGCTGCTGGGGCGGCGGCTGGGGTTGCCCGGCCGGGAACCCCCCACGGCGGCGGCGTTGGAGCCCGGCGTGGCCATGGTCCTGCCCCCGGGGCCCTCGGCTGCTCCCTCCGCCTCGGCTTTCGATTGCACGGCTTGCAAAATAAAAAGGCCCCTCGTCGCTTCCTTCCTTGGCCTCCTCTGCAAACTGCCTTTAAAGAACCCGGCCGGCTCCAACCCCCTCGCCTCGCCCGGCCTCTCCTCTCAATTGCATCTGCAGCGGAAAGCCTTTTGCGCTTTGCCTTTTAATTGCATTTCTTTCGAAACCCCGCTTCGCTCGCCCGGCCTTTTCTCTTAAGTGCGTTTGCACGAAAGACGCTTTTCGGCTTTGCCTTTTAATTGCCTTTCTTTAAATGGACAAAAAAGGCTGTCCGGCCCCCTTTCCTCGCCTGCTCGGCCTTTCCTTTTAATTGCATTTAAATTGTATTTTGATTCCCCTCCTCCCCCAATTATATATATATTTGCTTCCCTCTCTGGCTCCGGCTTCTTCCCGCCGCGCAGCGAAAAGGCGACACCATCTCTCCGCCCCCGGTTGTAACGCAACACGCGAGTCGGCGGCGGGATTTGCACGTCAGCACGCCCGGGGGGTGTGGGGGAAGGTGTGTGTGGGTCGCAGGCGGGGGTGAAGGCGCTTTGCAAAGCCACCCCCCCCCCCCTCCAAGCATGGCAGGGGTCCCGCATAGCGTCCGCGGGCTTTCAGGCGGCATATTTTTTTCAAAGTCCCATTGAGCTGAATGGGCTTACTCCCGAGTAAAATTGCAAACTGATTAGGTGGGGGGGGCACATTGGGAAAAAGGGAACAGGAGGCACCCCTGAAAAGCTGCAAAGCGGGGAAGATAGACATTGAATCCTATTAACAAAGTTTGCTCCATGCTTTCATTCCCTGCTTTCCTGCCGCAGTTCGAAAGCAAGACATTGCAAATAGATAATAGGTTCCGCTTCGGTGGGAAGGTAACAGCGTTCCCTGCACCTTGGTGTCTAGTCATGCCCCACATGACCATGGAGAAGTCTTCGGACAGCGCTGGCTCTTCAGCTTGGAAAGGGAGATGAGCACCGCACCCCTAGGGTTGGATTCGACTGGCTTTTGAGCAAGGGAAACCTTTACCTTTACCTTCATTACAAGAGGCCAACTTGGATAGTACTACCTAATGGTGGGATGAAGACCCCCCCCCCCCAAAGTAGGGATGCCAGGTGGAACCTGGGGATCCCAGGTGTTGTGGTTAGGAGCGCAGACTAACCTGGGAGAACTGGGTTTGATTACCCACACCTCCACATGCAGCCGCTGGTGTGACCTTGGGTCAGTCATAAGTTCTTTCAGAGCTGTTCTCTCAAGGGCAGCTCTCAGAGCTCTCTCAGCCCCACCTACCTCACAGGGTGTCTGTTGTGGGGAGGGGAATGGAAAGGAGATTGTAAACAGCTCTGAGACTCCTTCAGGTAGTGAAGGGCGGGGTATAAATCCAGTCTCTTCTTCTGCTTCTAGAGCTCATCTCCAAGCTACAGAGATCAGTTCTCCTGGGGGGGGGGGGGGGGGAAATTTTGGGGGGGGGT